TGGCTGTGGTTGCTAAAATCTCACTAGCCAGTTTGGGACACTGATACACCTCGTGCCCCATATCCTGCTCCTCTGGGTGAGTTCCCCTTGATTGTATTAAAATGGTATTCAAACAAAGGAATTCCACTGAAGGAGGCAAGGAGGGGACGCAAATCCCATTTGGGGATAAATGTGCCAACGTCTTTATAAAATGTCATTTTGCAAAAACTTCCCCAGTCTACAACTGATTGGGGACTCAAGACTTGGAAAATTTTAGCTTTAAGGTAAAAAGCTGTAAGTATATCAAGTCCTGTGTATGTTAAGCTTTTGTTTCAGAAACTACAGATAAGACCCATCCTGGCTCCTGAGAAAAGCGCCAACCTCCTGGGGCACCGCTAGGGATTACCGCCTGGGGACACGTTGGAGGCATCCAGGCCTTTTATGTGACCACCCCCACCCCTTGGGAACAGCTAACTGCCTGAGGACAGGATGGCTGCAGATTAGCTCACCTAATCCTCCCTGAATTTCAAAGCCCTCACCGCACCTTGTTTGTCCTCCCCCACCCCCTTATAAAAGATCTAGCCAGGACACAGAGGGGAAGATGGTTTGTTAGGGTGTGAACCCGCCATCTTCTCCAAACGCCGGCCATCTGAACAGGCCATCTGAACAAAACGCCCATAAAAGATTCAATCGCCGTCATTGCTTATTGGGTTTGGTAGTGACAGGCAGCCGGAATGCCAGTGTCTTTTCCAGTTACCCAACAATTAATAAAATAATAATAATAATTAAAAAAACTTTTTTCAATCTATCCCCATCCCCACACAGTGTGAGAATAGCCATATAATTCTTGACAGAAAACGCAGGAAGGTAGAGATGACGGCCGGGTACGAAGACACTGCACTCGCCCCTCCCGTGTGGAACACCAAATACACTCGAACACGGGCAGCGATTATTCCTGCGAGACAGCGGAGCCCTGAACAACCAGCCTGGGACAAGGAACCAGAGAAAGAGCCCGCACAGAGAGGCCTGGGAAGCCGAGGGAGCGGCGGGAACTCGCCGCGCTTGAGGGGGCGTCATGTCCCCTGCCCTAGGCGGGGCGGCCGGATGTCTACCCCGGGGCCGGGACCTACCTGCTAGATGGCTTTGTAACAGGGTGCAGCCAAGAGAGGGGACCCCAAATAAGGATTTGGAATGGGGTCCAGAACTCAAGGTGTCCAGGAAATATTAAGATGTCCTCACCCCCCACCACCCCCACACACAGGTATGGGTTGGGGGAAGGGACAAATGGAGCAGGGCCAGTGAGCGCTGTTTTGCCTAGCAACAGCTTTGCAGCTAACCTCTGGCGTGGTCATTTAACATGTCTATAACCTTTAACTGGTTACATAGATATGTTAAACAGCTGTAGCCATGCTCTGAGCCAGGGGAATGGAAGCAACTTCCCCACCAAGACGTAACTGGGGGGCAGGTCCCCCAAGTTACAGCCAGTACGAGGAGCTTGGAGATGATTGGCTGCACGCCATGGGGCCACGCCTGCCCAGACTCACGATGGCAGCCCAGTAAAGCTGGAAGGATATGAGTGCTGGTAAGTGTGGTCGATTGTGGGAGGAGTTGGAAATGGGGCTGCAGAGGAGGATTGGCGTGGGGATTTAAACCCAGATGCGGCAGCCATTGAAGGGAGAACCATACGGTCTTGACCAGAGTGGAGACTCCTGTGGCCATTGTGCCGAGAGGACCACAAGGCTGGGGCTGTGGCAGAGAGAACCTCGCGGCTTTGCCTGAGTGGGGACCCCCACAGCTTTAGAAGGGGGAACCACCACCCGGCTTTAGCAGAGATTCCGGCGACACGGCTGATGGTGCCGGGAACTGAGGGAGGCCTCCCAGCGGAGCACGGATTACTGGGAAGGACCAGGGACTGCCTGAGCCAAGGACTATTTCTTTTCCTGAGATACGGTACCCCAGACTGGGCAAAGGGGGAAGGAAGGACTGTGTGTGTGTTCATGGGTGTTTTAAGGGACTTTGGGATTTTGATGAAGACATTAGGTCACTACTTTAAGTCTGTACAGCATTAAATAAACATTTCCTTTCCTTTTCATGAATCTCTGGCATTGAGAGACGCCTTTCCTCTGGCAGCAGACATAACAAACTTGGGGGGTTCCTTTCGGGTAATAGTATATTGACCCCCCCCCCACCTGTTCAGTAACAGCTTCAGTCCAGTCCCAGCTACATGGCCTGCAGCCTTCGGCCTCGGACAGAGGGCGCAAGCAGGAGCCACAGGGTGTCACCAGAGCCACCGGCTTCCCTGTGGAGGGGCGCCTGCATCCAGGCTCTTTCCCCAAGTGCCATGAGCGTGTGCTCTGCTCCAAGCTACTTCCCACAACCACCATCTCTGCGTGTCAGGCTCGTGCCCCAAACGCCGAGAGTACGTGCCCGGCTCCACGTGGCTTCCCACAAGCACCCACTCCGCCTATCAGGCTTGTGACTCAGATGGCAACAGCACGTGCTTGGCTCCACCCGGTTTCCCACAAGCACCCGCTCCGCCTGCAGGGCTCCTGCCCCCCCAGGTGCCAAGAGCGCATGCTCCGCTCGTTGTGGCCTCCCACAACCACCCAGAGCACAGAGCCACAGAGGTTGCTTCTGCACAGATCACTTTTAGTGCAGAAGCAACAAACCAGAGAGAGGAACCTAGGGAGGCCCCCGGAGTAGAGAGGCTGATGATCTCCATGGTGTACGTCCCGTCCACCTCCACAGGGTGGGCAGGGGCTCTATGCAGGTGCTCTGGCCTGAAGAGGACAAAGGGAGCAAGCAGGACCAACAGGGCATCCTTACATACCCCTGGTCTCCCCACTTGAAGCCCATTCCTGTTTGGTGGTCCAGTGCCCTGGGCAACGTAGGTACCGCTCAGCTCCTACCCGCCTGTCAAAACCCTGTGGCACACAGTCTACACAGAGCCAGCTTCTATATAAGGCCACTTTTCCAAGACTGGAAGAGACAGCTATTTTGTTTAATTAATATATACAAACATAGAAAGTCAAACAAAATGAAAAGACAGGACATCTCTTGAAGGATTAAGAAAATTCCCAGAAAAAAAAAAAAGAGAAAAACTAAGTAAACAAATAATTTGATAAAGATTTCAAAGAAATGATCATAAGGATACTCACCAATGTTGGAAGTAGAATAGAGGAACTTAAAGAGAAAGTATAAGGAAGAACCAAGCAGATCTTAAGAATACACAATAACTAAAACGAAAAACACAGAGGAAATCAACAGATTAGCTAATGGTCTGTCTCTAAGTAACCAAAGCAGTGTGACCTAGAGACAGATTAGTGGAAATCAACCAATCAGAACAACAGAAAAAAAAAGAATTAAAAACAAGGGAAAAAAAGATAATCTAAGGGACACCTGGGTTAACATCACACATGCAGACATTTGCATTATAGGGATCCCAGAAGGAGAGGAAATAAAAACATAAACTTTATTTAAATAATGGGTGGAGACGTTCCTAACCTGGGAAAGGAAACAGACATCCAGGTCTAGGAAGCACAGAGAGTTCTAAACAAGATGAAGCCAAAGAGACCCACACCAATACAAAATCGAAAGGTAGAGACATTCTTGAAGGAAGCATGAGAAAAACCAGTTACAAACAAGGGAAACCCTGTACGTCTGTCTGTGTCAGCTCATTCTCATCAGCAACTTGACACACCGGAAGGGAAAAGCAGGATCTCTTTCAAGAATTCTTCTCTTTGCAGAATGGGGTCTGCTGACCTCCCCCTTGACTCGAGAAGAGCCAGGTGTGCTAAGTGTAAGGTGAAGAACCCCAGTTGCTCCAGGGTTTTTACTGGAGACAAAAGTCTATTTCCTGATACTTGCACCACACTCTGGGAAAACCTATGGGAAGCCTCTTCATCTTGCCAAGATGGAAGAGAGCCCAGCACCAGGCAGATTGGGCCCATAATTGGAGAGGGAAAAGTACAGCATAGAATCCATGAACAGGCACTATTTTCACCCAACAGTAAAGTCCTTGATCTATTTTTTAAAAGAGAGAGAGTGTGTACAGAGTACAAAGGGAGCTTGCAACCTAGAACAATTTACCCAACGAGAAATTCAAGGAGAGGCAGTTCCCCAGACAAGCAAAAACTAAAGGACTTCGCCATCACCATTAAACCAACCTTAAAAGAAATGTTAAGGATCTTCTTTAAGTAGAAAAGGAAAGGCAATATCCAGAAATAAGAAAATTATGAGAAAGGGAAAAACTTCACAGGTAAAGCCAAATATTCAATAAATAGAGCAAATCACACATTTAAAAAGCTACTACAAAGGTTAAAAGAAAATGTATCAAACTACATTAAGTAGCTAGGAAATACACAGCACAGAAAGATCTAAAATATGACATCAATAATATGAAGCGTGTATGGAGGAGTAAAAAGGTAGTCCTTAGAGAATATACTGGAACTTAAACATCCATGAGCTTGAAAGAGACTGCTAGAAAGAATGACATACATAAACCTCATGGTAACCACAAACCAGAAACCTACAAAACACACACAAAGCGAACTGAAACAATACACTGAAGTAGAAGAGCAAACCGCAAGAGAAGCGATCAGAGAAGAAAGGCACAGAGGACAGCTGTAAAAACAAGAAAGAGCCCCCTGGACAACTTCAGGAGGCGGAGAACAGGAGCAGGTCCTCCGGAGAGGAAGGCAGACCTCACCAGTCAGCTTCTCCATGGCATCCAAGGACTTCGTGTTAGAATGGAAGCCAACCAACTCTTCTTTCTGGAGCTTAAACCACTGGCATATTAACCCAGCCTCAGCTTGTCCCGTCCCCACTCCTAGAAAGCTCAAGCCAAGCCAGGTAGGAAAGGCAGCAACAGCCAGCAGTTCGGGACACAATTAGTTCTCTGTTTTTGGAGATACCCTGAGACTCCCCAAAAACGATGAGGGTTCCATACTTACTAACCAAAGAGGCAGTTCTCAAGAAATGATTAGATGGGCCTAAGAATATATATGAAATAATAGCTTGTCCTCCTTCTCCCACAAGGGCCATTTTATTTCTAAGTTGTTTTTTTCCCTAAACCACCAGGTCCAGGCACCTCCCACAGGGCCCCACCTCCTCCCACTCCAGCCTTGGGCCCTCATCCCTGATCACCAAAGTCACCTTGCTGGCCTCCATATCTCAAAAACATCCAAGCCAGTACACATGTGGTTCACACCAAAGGGTTTGTTTGTTGTTGTTATTGTTTGTTGCTGTTGTTATTGTTTGTTTGTTTGTTTGTTTGTTTGTTTTATTTAAGAGCCTACAGTGCTGAAGCTCCAGAATTTGGAAGGTCATCCTCCGCTGCTTCTGCCAGGCCTGGCGATGAGCACCTGGCAGCCGGAGCCGGTGTTTGGGAGGAAGGCAGAGGAACCCAGCTTCCCCGCTGATCACTCATTCCCTGACAGTTGTCGAAAAGGCAAGTGTGAGCTGCAGTCCCAGTTCAAAGGTGCAGGGGGCACACAGCTTCTCTGTGGCCGGTCCCGTGGAGTCACCAGTCTGACCCAGGAGGACACTGTGGAGGGGAGAGATAAAGCAGGCCTGCCCTCTGGCAAACAGCAGAGAAAAGGAAAAGGAAAGTCAACACAGGAAGTGAAATCAGAGGGGAGCAAGCATGCCATGTGGGTTCCATGCAGCAAGCACTCTTCTCATAACGGTCTCCCCAAGGGTCCCCCTCCTTCCTGCAGAGGCCACCATATGGTCCTTACAGGCGAGGGCTGCAGAGCACTGTGCCCAGGGGGGTTGGGAACCAGGGGACCCTGCAGCTCTGGCAGCCCCTTCTCAGGAAACTGAAGAATCTGAAAAGGGGGTGAGCAGGGAAAGGCTAGAGGTTTCATCCAAAGCAATGGTGCAATTAACAGGCAAATACACAAACCTTGCAGAGAGCCAGAAAAGAAAAGAGGAGATCAAAAAAAAAGTACAAAACACCTTTCCAGAGAGAACAGAGTCCCAGGGCCCCAAAGGCACTGCCAGTCCGCTTTAGCAGAAGCATTGACCCCAGGGAAACAGCAAAACGGGAGCCTCTATCAGCCTGAGAAGTCAACCCAAGTCCTCGCTTCCAGGAGCCACCCGAACCCCTGACCCACACCCGTGGTACCTCCTGAGCTCAGTGGGTTCCTAGTCCAGCCTGGCCGAGGCCAACTTCAAATACAGTCCCTGATATTCAAAACTCTTTGTGAACTAGCTGTGCTTAATTCTGCTGAACCCTTCAAAAAGGAAAAGAAGAAGGAAGGGAAGGTGAGGTAAGGGAAGGTGCCACAAACGTGAATACTTCTGCTGTGGGCTGACCAGCCCTATGCACTTCCACTTTGAACTTTCACACAGTCATCCCCAACATAAGGCCAGAACCTGACCCAGCCCAAAAGATCACCAAAGGTTTAGACATCTAGAATGTCATAGATCCGGGAGAGCAGGGTGTCAGAAATCCTAAATACACACATGGATATCCTGTAGGCTTTTTGGGGAGCGGTTCTTGATAACTTCCGATCACTTTTACTTTTGTCAACAGTTGCTTTCAAATTAGTATTTTTAAGTCAACACATTTCTACCCTTTGCCCCCTTGAGGAGGAAGAAAGGGTGACATTTTAAAGGGGCATCCAGAGGGTGGTAGAGGTGATTCTCCTGCGGTGACATTCTGAGCAGGCGTGACACACACAAACGAGCCAGAGTTTCATAAATAATGTTTGTCTTGGCTTCAACACCTTGGAGAAAAGACGGCTTCCAGAGCCCTCACACTCAGGCTGCAGCCGATCAACTTTCCACAGGAGGCCAACAGGCTGGAAAACAGGTTTTACCTAAAAGAAAAGGAAGAGTGAGTGAGTGAGTGAGTGCCCTCCCGCAGAGCTCCACACCCATTCTGACCCCGCCCTAACAGTCTCCATCCCGTGGTCACACTGCCTGACCACAGGACCTTTGAACATGCTGCTGTCTGGAGGCAAACTGAACTCCTCCGCGTAACTCCTTCCCTTCCCTCAGCTCCCAGCTCAGGGTCCTTTCTTAATTCCCCATGTAGACCTGCCAGCCCACCACCTCTTTTCTCCAAGTATTCCTCCTTCCTAGCACTTCTACAGGTGTTTATGTGAGGGCTCAGCAAAAGTTCTACGTGAAAGTCCACAAAGGAAGTATTTTTGACCCGACTCACTGCTGTGGGGCAAAATCGGCCATGGACAGCACGGATGTTTGAGTGTGGCTGTGTTCCACAAACACTATTCTACGAACACTGAAATTTGAATGGCATGTAATTCTTAGATGCAGTTTGCTGACCCCTCGTTTATGTAATTATCTGATTTGCGTCTATCCTTTGCTTAGTCTGGAAGCTCCTTGCAGGCAGACCCTTGTTTGAGTTCACTCGCCTCTAAAATCTGTTGAAGACATCATCTAAAAGGACTTAGAAAAGGAGAGAAGTCCGAGAGGTCAGAGCCACCACCAACATCGACTGGTGTCCCATCATGGGCATTATGTAACCACACATGGACAAAGGTTGGGGATTTAATAGGATTTACAAAATAATAACTTCTCCTCATAATGTATGATCTCAAATATAAATATTATCACACCAGGTAACTATTTATTAAAAGATATAGACACCCTATTTTTAGGAAATATACACTTGACTATTATTTACACATAATATACAAAACTTACCCTCAAACAGTTCAGGAAGAAAATCTGTATTCACACATAGGCACCCATCATTACACAAATGAGGCGAAATGTTGAAAGAGGAAAATCTGGGTAAAGAGTGCTCCCTGTACTATGTTTTTTAGGTTTAAAATTATTTCCATAAAAAAATAAGGTCAACAGACTATAGAAAATAAAGACGACTCCCCATAGCCATGTCCAAGCTGTACAGGCTGGCTCTTTACGGCAACCAGTGCCCCTGCCTCCGGGTTAGGAGGGGCGGCTCACCCCCACTGGCTGACGTCAACAGCCCAGGCACTCACCCCCACCCTGCAGATGCAGCCTGAGGGTAAGCCTGCACTGGGCCTGCTCCACAGTCAGGTCTCCCACTGCATCCCCTGCAAGCTCACTGATGAGGGTGAGCGATGGGAGCCCGGGGACTGGGGACCCAGAAGTCAGACCAAAGTGAAAGGACTCAGTTTCTGATACCTACCCCAGAGCAGACGTGCCCAGGAACCAGAGCCAACCACAGAAGGCCTGCTGACTCTGGGAAGGGGAGATGCCAGAATCCGCAGAGGTGTTAACTGTGTATACCTTCACCCTGCTAAGAATTCACCTTCAAAACATCCCATTTCTGATCTGGTGACATGCCATCTTACAGATGTCCCAAGAGCATACCTCGAGGATGTTCTGCCAGGTCCCCTGCCTGCACTGTAACCCCATGTGCAGCTGCTGATACGCCCTGTGCTGACAGGAATAAACACACAAAGGTTGGGGAGAGTCAAAGCAGATGGAGGGAGCCCCCCCACAACTCATCCAGCATGTCACTAATCCTTGGGTTCCTTCCACGGCGGAGCTAAACCTCCAGAGCTGCTGTTGGAAAACAGAACACGACAGATCTTTCTCACACTTCCATGAGATGCAATTGTTCTGGGTACCTGAGAGCTCCCATGGAGGTCACTGGCTTTGGGGGGCTCTCCACCAGGATGTGAGCCCATCCCAAGTCTGAGTGGGGGAGCTGGCTGCCCTTCAGACCCTCTGGTGCAACTGTGACTCAGGAAGCTGCCAGGACTGTGGACACAGGGACAGGGTGAGGGGGCTGGCTGTCAAGTTCCAGGTCTCTTCATTGCATCTGTCTCCCTGAGGTTCTCCCCCACGGAAGGCCCTGGGGGTATGGGGGCGCGGGGGCACAGACACGCACAGCTGCAGCTCACCTGTTGACCCTACACTCACTCAAAACTACTTCTTCCTGCAACACCCTCACTCCCCCCTGCCCCTTAATCCACTTTGGGCTTGTTCCCTGGGCCTTTCAACCCTTCCATAAGCTTCGCCAACTCTGAAAAGAGCTTCCTGCCCGGAACAGATGCCCCTCCTGGCCGCCCACAGCATCCTGCTCTTTCCTCCCTGTGGCGCTTACCAGGTCACCCTGTGTCCGAGTTCCTGGTTGCCTTCCTGTCACAGCACACGCTCCTGGAGAGCAGGCCCAGGCTCACCCACCCTGCACTCACAGGGAATGAAATGAGCAGGATCTTGAGCTGGACACGTGAAGAGTATGACAAGCAGAGATTTCGAAGAAGACTCTCTCGACCCCTTTCTCTCCCCGAGAATGGCCAAACTGTTAATGACATTCCTGTATCATCATTTCATCATCAAAGTAAACCAGAAAGGATGGCAAGGCTGCCCCTCTGCCCCTGCCCTCCCTGGAAACCCTGTGAGAAGTGAAAGCATATTTAGATGCCTTGACCCATGCTTCTTCCTTTCAGATTTCCCATTGTCCTGTACAACAACACTGGATTATCACCACCCTGCAGAAGGAGAAAAACATGTCCCTACCTGCCCTACAAGAAGCTTGTCTGTTGGTGGAAACAGCCCTCGACATGAAAACACCTGTCTCAGCACCTGTTCAGCACCCTGGCAGCTGACCTCTTGGTGCATCAAGCAAGGATGCAGCTGGAACAGGGCACAGAGGCCATGGGGATAAACGACGACAGAGAAGCAGAGGGAGGAAACCAGTCCCCGTTTGTTAGCGGGCCGAGATGGACAGATGTGAGGACCACTGCATGCCATGGGGGCCCTCTGCCACCCCACCATCTTCACCCCAGCACAGCAAAATGGGGGAAAACAACTAAAATGTGGCTAGCTTCTACACAAGCATTGCTAGGTAGGGTATTTGTGTTGTTTTCCATTTTTTTCTTTTAGTCTTTTTTTTTTGACAGACTCTTAGGTAGCACTGTAAGCTACATATGAATAAGTCAGATTTAGTAGTAAATTTTCATTGCCACAAAAATTCCTGTTCACATAGCCTTGCCCCTTACAGACATAAAACTCAAATAGTTTTAAGATGCACAATACCGTAGCTGAGAACTGCCCCCCATGGACCAATATTGCTTTTCAAAAAAACAAAAAAAAATGCCCTGTGAAATGCCCACTTCTAACACGTGAGGTCAGTATTGTGCAAGAAGGGGGGCGGCAGAGCTTTATTCACACTGGTTTGGGGGCAGCCCCGGATGATGGTTCGGGCCCAGGTCGGATGCTCCAGCACCTTCAGGGAAACCTGCAGAGCCCTAGGTCCCTTCTGATTCGTCTCAGGCCTCACAGGCTCACAACATCCATTGCCGCTACGCGGTCCACCTGCACATGCGCTCCAAAGAGCTTCATTCCCCATCCCCAGAACATGAGGAAGTATGGGGTAGGCCCAAAGGCCTTCGAGCCCAACCACTCAAGAAGTCCCTGCCCCGAGTGTGCTTAGCAACTGCCACTGGGTGCTCCTGGGGACCCTGAGCCCTGGGCCTCAGCCTAGGAATAAGGAAGGCAAGTCTGTTTCTCCTATTCCCAGCGTAGCCTTCAGGGTCCCCTTGCAGCAAACAGCCACCAAATGCCCTTTGTTCCCAAGACAAGATGCCAGGCATGGCCTACAGGGTTGCAATAGAAATCTCATCGGTTTCTAATTAAATTCCCACTGGAAGCTCTATCCTCAAGAGGGTGGGAGGCAGGCGATTCTAGAACAATTGCCTGCATCCCCACGGGCCACATTTTCCGCAAACCTAAGTAGTGAAAGAACGAGGGCCTCCCTCTTGGGGTAGGCAAGGTTGGCAGGAGCAGTGTGTCCTCCCAGCACAATACCTCGGGGCAGCATTTGTCACAGATGGCCACTGCCACCTACCAGACAGACGGGAGGAGGAACGGCGTCTGCCTCGCCGTAGGGGACGCACAGAGAGTGCCATAAAAGTCCCCTGTGGTGAACCAGGGATGCAGGAGGCCCCAGACAGCAGCCCCAGCTGCATGCGAGGCCAACCAAGCTCAAAACACATGCAACCAGGATTTAAGAGCCTTTTGAAATATGGAACCACAGTCCCAGGGTTCTCTGTACTCCGTTTAGCCACCATTTCCTCTCTTTTAATTTCCTCTCTTTCTTCTTAAGTACAGAGTTGGAATCTCTTTTCTACACCTCCGCCCCCCCCCACCAACACACACACCCCCAAACTCCGGGCCCTGCACATTAGAGGTCTTATCTCACGTACTCTAACATCCCCGATGACGATGACGGAAGCCGAAGAGCAAGGCTGGCTGTGGCCTCACCCTGCCCGCCTTCCCTCCGTTTCCTGCCCGGCTGAGGCAGCAGGGTCTGAGTCACGAGATGTTATCAGAACGACACCCGTGTCACAGTAAGAGCTAGGGTACTGCCTGGCTGCCCTGGCACCGGGAACATGATTTTCCTCTTTGCACTCACTCATTAAATCACTCAAGGTCACGATCCAGCCACATCCGATTTAAAATGTACTGTTTCCCAGAGTGAACCAGAACATTTAGTTGAGCTCCGTCTGTCTAAACAGGAAAGACAAGGACCTGTGAACAGATGATCACATGTAGACAAGGTAGTTCTCAAAAACACTGAACGACACATAAAATTACCCTTAAAATTGTTGTTCTTTTCAAATGCATTGACCTGAGAAGTTGTTCATGATACGCTGTTCAGGTGAGAAATGTTCCAGAACAGCATGCGCTGCACGGTCCTGTTTCCTTAAAAAGAGAAAACTCCACATATGTACTCACACACACCCTAGTGGCTACCGCGAAGCAGTGAGATTAATTTTATTTCTCCTTTTTCTTATCTGCATTTCTATCCCATACACTGCACCGGTAATGTAAAAAGCCTCTAAGTGGTCTCTCTAAA